GAATAAGCATTGAGTCATTCATGCCATTATATATTCTCCCGTAATTTGCAACCAAAGACTGCATTATTGATTTTGAGCGAAAAGAAATATTTATGAGCTAAATAATAATAATAATAATAATAATAATAATAATAATAATAATAATAATAATAATAATAATAATAATAATAATAATAATAAAAACAATGAAGAAGAAAGGAAAGAAGATAATAAGCAGGCAGTGACTTTTATGTTACCTATTTCATGTAGTTAATGAGGTTAGATTCCGTCACAAGAAGTGGAATTCTCTCAAGGTTCAAATCCATTCAATTTGAGAGAGAACATCAGTGTTATCTGGAGAGAGTTTGTGTATTATTTAAACCAAAATACACTTCACTTGAATCATGGAACGGGTCATAAAACAAGCAACGTCCATTCATTCAGTGACCCTCGCTATGGCAGAAGGTTACATTTAATTATACCGCATTTTTATACCAAAGCTGAATTCGACAAAGAAAACATTGGCATCAGTAATGTACAGATTCCACATGCCGCTCGTCATATCACAGTTTATTTTACGAAAATCGAGGTGATATATAATAGTTCCCTTTATTTAGTCGATGAGATCCACAACGTTATTACTGGTACATAATGGCATTTTCTAATGCCTGACCTCTCACCGGCTATGCATGATAGGTATCCCGGAATATGTATTGCTTTAATATTGAATGGAATACGCCTCTTTGAAGCTAGCTACTCGGCACTATTGGAAAACAGTTTTAATCTGTTCAGGTAACAGGAGGTAGGACTCAACAGGACCTATGTTACTGCAAATAAATCTAACACGCTGTTTAATATTCCACATTAATGAAGAATAGTAACTCACTACTTAGAGATGATCTCTTAAGGAACTGTATTTGAACCAAAAGACATTTCACTCTACGCGAAACCTTTTCCTTTCGAACAAAGGTAAATAAATTTGCAATGGACTATAAAAGAAATGATTTTCAATACATCATGAACACATTTCACGCAGCTTGATAACTATACACGAGCAAGATACAAATCAAGCGCATTTTTTGCAGGATTGCATTTCCTAATTTTCATGAAATTAAAGTTCAATTGTCCACGTAATTTAAGCATTGCACATGCCAAAGGAAACAGCCAAGTAAATGTCTCAGCCAATCCACGCCACACATTGTGCCCAGCCTATGAAGGATATTTGCATCTAGATTTTTTAATCATCGGATGAAAACAATAGTTTTGTAACATAATATGATGCAATATATTAGCTATTTTAATTGCAACGCAAAGCAGTATTTATTCAGTGTAATATCCATATAGTCCTATATACTATCTCGCACTACGTTCTACGTTTGCAATCTATAGCACATAAATGTAGACTTAAATCTCTCTCTCTCTCTCTCTCTCTCTCTCTCTCTCTCTCTCTCTCTCTCTCTCTCTCTCTCTCTCTCTCTCTCTCTCTCTCTCTCTCTCTCTTCTTTACCATGAACATTCATTAAAAATGTTTTGTTGTTTAATAGATTGTATCTCGGAGGATGCAGCTTAATTCAATATTTCATCACAAGTAAACAAGTGATTTTAGAAAATACGTCTTGAACATGCGATACAGATTGTTAGATGTACTGACGAGACAAAGAATGCTGCTTTGGTTGAGATCCAATACATTAAGATACGATATGATAAAAAGTAAGTGATAATGTAAATTTCGGACATCTTAGATGCTATCCTAAAGCATTTAGTACTACTCCACCGCCATGTAGAATGACATGTCTTGTATGCTATGACAGACAGAAGCGGATATGCATGCATTTAACTTGATGTCTAACAATTTGCTCCAAAACCTCACCTCTGCATTAGTAATTTGAAATCTGTTGACGGGAAATGTTTGCTTTTGGAGCCTAAACGATCTTTAAATGTTTCATTTAAAATATAATTGCGTTCTACTTAAATAAAGCTGTACAGTATGTGATTCCTGATGGACATGAGGCCCAGTACGGATGCAGTTATTATTATTATTATTATTATTATTATTATTGTTATTATTTTTATTATTATTATTATCATTATTATTATTATTATTATTATTATTATTATTATTATTATTATTATTATTATTATTATTATTATTATTATTATTATTATTATTATTATTATTATTATCATCATTATTATTATTATTATTATTATTATTATTATTATTATTATTATTATTATTACTGGTGATGATGTTGTTAGTAATAGTTGTAGAACTAGTAATAGTGCATTTTGTTGTTCTTTTTTCTTGTTTTTTCCCTTTCTTCTTAATTTTGCGACAGCTTGCATATACATGTATATTAATGAACGTAGCCTATATAACGTTCATTTTGATTACTTGCTGCATTCTTCCTCTTTATTTAAATATTCTTTATTTTTTCCTCTAATTTTTTTATTTCGTTTTACATTCTTATTTCAGTAGGCTATAATTATCGCAATATATTCGAAACTCCTCTTCACTTTCGGTCACGTAGTGTGTGATGCTTCCGTCTTTCCTCAACAGTCATTCTATATGTACCGTGTAGCTCCCAGCTAGCATATTTTGGACTGGAGAGTTTATCAATTTAACAACACTGGTGAAAAGGACAGGAACTGAAATCTGCTTTTTAGTTTTTAGATCCCATTTCTCTATTGATTTTCACTAGAATCATATTTCTATTATTTTTATTATTATTTTTTTTATTATTATTATTATTATTATTATTATTATTATTATTATTATTATTATTATTATTATTATTATTATTATTATTATTATTATTATTATTATTATTATTATTATTATTATTATTATTATTATTATTGTTATTATTATTATTATTATTATTATTATTATTATTATTATTATTATTATTATTATTATTTTTCTATGGCCTGTTGTACAAAAAACCATCACATCATGGTGTTTAAGCCGAGTTAGAGAAACTAGAAAAACGCATCTTGTCGTTCATTATTGTTTCCTAAAAATTTACAATGTCCTTAACAAAAAACGCCGTTCGATATCGTTCTTGATTCATGCAAAAGTAATTTGAGGAAAGATTAACCGCCATTCACATTTTCTGTTACTCGTATTAAAATGGATTTGATGCTAATAGCAGAATCATCATTAAAAGCAAAACGCTGTTTAAAACCGGCAAAATCAGTCGGTACTAAACAGGGAAGCAAAACCTTAAAGAGAGATAAAATCTTCCATTTCTTGTATAGATGATCATAACAAGCTTATCATAATGAAAAAATACTACAGCGCGAAATATTATATTCAAAATAGCAATATCTTGCTTCTGATAACTATTTAAAAAAAATAACTCATGAAATTAGGAAATATCCATTTCGGACAGCTTAGTACATTTAAATATCTTTGACGAAAAAATCAGCAAAATGTACTTACATCTTTCCGTATGCGTTGTTAAAAATTCAACATCGTAAGTCTAAGAAATGTATACAAATATAAAATAGATCGATATACTCCGATTATGTGTACAGAACAAAAATGTAACGATGCTAAGAAAAGTACAAGAAACAAAAGGCAAACAATAAACAAGATGTGTCTGAAAGTTGTCATATTATATCTTATGTTTCAGTGTACTGATTACAACATAAATTTTGACACCTGAACAATTTGAAAATACATTATTCATTAATGTAACGGGGAATTTAAAACAGTAAAACCCTCCTTAGTTAATTTGGCTTTAGTTAGCTAGGAAATGATCTCCCACGGTGTTATTGCCCAGTGCGGACGGATAGATGAAATTTTACAGACAACTGAACAAATTGTTGAAAAAAAAAATAAACATATGCGTCTACTTTGGTCCTCTTTCGACCCTCAACTATTCCGATTCCTGCCAGAATTGGGTTTTCCCTTGACTCATCGGGTTCCATGACTTATCTCCATTCGGAGCATGGAGATGTTCCTTAATGCCGTTTTTTTTCCACACACCCGTGTCCTAGCCTATAGTCTGTCTTCCTTTTTAAGATTGTTGTCTTTTCCCACTGAGCATCAAATTCGACTTGTTGCAAGCAAAATTGAACTAAAGAATTTGGGCAAGCGGTACCCCTAAAATATTTTCAAAAGTGTGCGCCCTTAATTTCCCTTACCAATCGGAAAAAAAACTCTTCATAAAATTCTCTCCAAATAATAATGTCTATCATCAATTTTCACTGGCCTAAAATATGCTGCAATTAGCTTTCTTTGGAAAATCAATTATTTGACGTGCGCCCCTTTTCATCTATTACGGACGGAGTTCTAACTCACGTATGCCATTGTACCGGTAAAATAACCCGGTCAAATGCTACTGAAGCTTAATGTAACCCTTTTTTATGTTCAGATTTGAAATAAGGAAATAATCAGTGAACTTTCTCAGGACCAATCGGGCTTGACTATGTTGAATTCAAAGCACATTTTATTTAACCTTACGTTTCGATAAGTCTTCAAAATTCGACACATCACAACTAAAAACAAAAAAAGTTGTGTTTATTGGTAGGAGTGGTTTCTTACGGGAGTGTGAAAACAATTCATAATAATATAACGTGCACCGTGTTGATACTGTGTGACGGAAGTAGTACAATAATTCATAATAATATCACGTGTACCTTGTTGATACAGTTTGACTAGTGTTGAAAAACAATTCATGATAGTATCACGTGTATTTTTGGTACTGTGCTTCTGGTTTATATTGTGTGTACCTTCTTGATATTGTGTGATTATTCATAATAACATCAAGTATACGTTGTTGGTACTGTGTGATGTGTGTGTGTGTTTGTGTTAGATTTTTAACGCAATTTTAAACATTTTTCAGTCATATCGCTACGATGTCTGCAGCGTGACAGTTTACTGTGATATGAACATGCCTCAGACATGTGGCATGATGTCCCACCCAGTCACATTATCCAGTCCTAACACTATCCTCTTAATGCTGAGCGTCAAGCGAGTCAGTTGTTAGTATCATTTTTTAAAGTCTTTGGTATGGCTCGGCGGGGGTTCGAACCAGTGACCTCCCGCATCCGATGCGGTCGCTGTAACCACTAGGCCACCGGACCGGTGATGGTTGTGGGAAAACAATTCATAATAGTATCACGTATGCCTTGTTTGTACTATATCATGGGTGTGGGAAAACGATTAATAATTGTGTTAAGTGGACATTGTTGGAATTGTGTGACGGGAGTAGGAAAACAATTTATAATAATATCGCGTTAGTCTTCCTGATACTGTATGACGGGAGTGGTAAAATAATTCATAATAATATCACGTGTACCGTGTTGATACTGTGTGAATGAAGCAATATGTTTGTTACGACACTGTAGTTGAATTATGTGTTAATGAATCAATTCAGAAAATTCTTTTTATTTCATTTTTATTTTATTTTTATAGCATTAAACGTAATTATTATTATTATTATTATTATTATTATTATTATTATTATTATTATTATTATTATTATTATTATTATTATTATTATTATTATTATTATTATTATTATTATTATTATTATTATTATTATTATTATTATTATTTTTTTATTGTTAATTATTATTATTATTATTATTATTATTATTATTATTATTATTATTATTATTATTATTATTTTTATTATTGTTATTATTATTATTATTATTATTATTATTATTATTATTATTATTATTATTATTATTATTATTATTATTATTATATTGTTGTTGTTCTTGTTGATGATGATGATGATGATGATGATGATGATGATGATGATGTTAGCATGGGTCTAATATTTTTTTAGAAACATCGTCTTTTTTAAATCGTAAATGTGACTAATGTAAGCACAAAGCTTTGTGTGATAGCAAATTTGTCGCAAGTAAGCATTCAGAAGTAGCTATGTAAATGATTGGCTGATACTTTTTCAGGCTTTCCTAATGTCCAGATGGATTGCAAAATTACGTGTCTTTTGTGCGCGTGTGCATGAAACTGCGTATTAGTTTATTTTATATTCTTAGTTATCTGTAAGAAAGTTCAGTCGTAGCCATAATTGCAGTTCAGACACCTTTTTCAACATCTTAGAGTTACATAGTTTCTTTTACCTTTAAAAAGGTATTTTTGAGCTGGAAGAAGTTGTCTGTTCGTATGCATGTTGTAGAACGATATGTGTTTTGTTAGTGGAGATAATTGTACTTTGTTTACTTTCCAAATAAATATTTTTCCTGTAGAACGACACTACTGTCTTTGGACAAAGACATTTGCTGAAATTACTTCTAAACTGGAAAAGAACAATACAAGTTGTGCTTCACTGTGAAAATTCTGGACCTTTTGTGTTAGCTTTCGTCTAACATCATCATCCGCCATCTTGAAGAGGAACTGAAATTCAGACTAGCAATTTAGAACTGTTTGTTAACAGGACTTTTGCGTTTACATAACTTTTGAACAAATTTTTGGATCTCATTCGTAAATTGTAAGTCTTGTTTCATATATTTACGTTTTCTCCATGTTTTCTAGGAAAATATTTTTTTTTTAAATTTACAAAGCTTGTTGTCTTTGCTCTTTCTTTGTGTTATCTGTACATTGTTGATTCTGTGGGAAGTGTTACGTTTAGGCTCGTACAAAGGTGGCAAAAGAAAATAGTGAAGCCAACAAGTTTTGTAATTTTTAACAAAATAACTTATTTACCTGAAACAGTCGAACAGCACGAAAAAGGACTTACACTTTGTGAATTGTAATTCAAGAATTATTCCTGGCATTGAAAAAATAGTCCTTCCACTAAACTGTTCTAATTGAATCAAGTTTCCAGTCTCGACGAAGTTCCATTACAGAAGGCGATGACGTCAGATGAGGTCGTTGTAGTGATGCCAAAAGTTCTTCGTTGAATTTTGTTAATCAAGATAAATAGTCAGTCTTTACAATTCCAAATAATTTCCATTGAATGTCTTTTTCCAAGATTTTGATGAAGAAACACGTATTTTTCAGAGAATATAAAATATTTTTAAATAACAAATAATTCAAATGGCAATAACACAAAATAGCTCTGAGCTCCTAAAGGTGTTATTTAACGACTGAAACTCTACTAGAAAGCGTCTACTTTAACCGCGAATTTAGATCACATGGTGGATCACGTGGCGAACTGCATGATCACTTATTTGAACATCTCAAAAAAAAAAGCTTAGATTAGCCCTATCTAAAAATGAGATTCTCGTACTAGAAATAAATAACAAAAAGACTGATTACACACATGGGTAACACGTGGGTCGAACATGACATTGATAATAGTCAATCATTTCCACTGAGTCCTTACGAATTTGCTAAGCAAGGTCGGTTAAAAATAATGATTACGTTCTAATCAAGTCAAGTGAATTCTCTGAAAAGAGATTAAAATCCAATAAAAATTATTACTTCAATAAAAAATAATGAAACAAAAAAGTATAAAGAAAAAATTTAAAACTAACACAAGCAATTTAACAGTAGGGAATGGTAAAATAATTAATAATAATATCACGTGTAAAGTGTTGATATTGTATAACGGTGTGGGAAAACGATTCATAATAAAATCACGTGAACCTTATCGATACTTTGTGATGGAAGTTGTCAAACAATTCCCCTGTTAATACTGTGTGGCAGGTGTGGTCAAACAATTCCATTATTAATCCTGTATAACGGGAGTGGTCAAACAATTCCCTTGTTAGCCCTGTTTTACGGGAGTGGTCAACAATTCCCTTGTTAAACGTTTGTTATAGGAGTGATCAAACAATTCCCTTGTTAATCTTGTGTTACGAGATTGGTCAAACAATTTTCTTGCTAATCCAGTGTTACGGGAGTGGTCATACAATTCGTAATAATATCAGATGAAATAGGTAGATATTCTTAAAGACTCTAAATTGTTCAAATTCTAAAATTTATAAATAATAAATGTTCCTTTTAAAGGTACTTTATATTTTGGGACTTTAACTTTTAGTGAGAGTACTAATGCATTCCCTTAATTTATGAATGCCTAGATTCAGCACTCCAGATGATATCCTGCATGTATATGTGTGGATATCTTGCCTTGAAGAAATCTTCCCTTACAAATGTGTCTATTTCGATTATAGGCTAATATTACTCAGAATTGAAGTAATACACGGCTTATTTTCTCTGTTGTAGGTTGTAAGTCCATGTATTTAATGTTGATCTGATTTTATTTCAATTTTAATAATTGATCTCCATATCATTTTATTATTATAATTAAATGAACTCATTTAATCCATCTTTTCGAGCTGAATGAATTCCGACACATCTTAGTTTTATTTCATGTATTTTATGTTCATGTCCTGCATGATCTAACCAAGGGAGATACAAATCAAAGTCAACAAAATTACGACAACTCAATAATTGGTGTATAAAAAAAAACATTATTGTCTACATCATGCAAAGAAAAATGAGCTAAGTAAATTTACCAAAGAACGCATTGCGGCAGCTCACATGGGCTGACCAGATCAAGTCTCGAACGCGCTATCGTTGGGTAACCAGTCCGATGCTCTATCAACTGTGTTACAGCGGCACGTGAGTAAAGCGAATGCATCATACACTCAGCCACGAACTAAAATGAATCACGAAACATGTTGTAATGGGTATAATATAGTTTTACATGCGTTTCATATGCATAAATACAATTCTTTATTGTATATTAGTAAGTCAATGTGCTTGTTTCCATTTTTGTTCGCTTCAATAACTTTTTGAATATCAATATAATTATAGGTTACTGCATTTCTATGTGAAAATATGAACGAGTCTTTCTTCCGATGGACACTGCACTACATGTGGGTGTACAGTATCCATCCGAGAAAACGAGTTTACATTTTCCCATACAAATGCAATAATCTTTCTATTATATATTCATTTTCTTACTCTCATCAGGTTTAATTATATTTTTTTTACAAATACACAACGAGAAATTAAGTAATTAAATTTATGATGTATTCCAAAATATATACACAAGTACACAAGCGCAGATTCATCAATGCACAACTAAATTGTTAATGCGCACGTAATTCCTCCCTCCCCCCACGAAATTTATATTTAGCTTTGCGCTCTACACCACTTTCAAAAGAATTGTCGTTTTGGTCTAGTTAAAACGGAAATTTAGTGTCACATTTGTGAATGAATGCTCATTGCAACAGTTCTTCCGGTTGGTTTTGGAATTAATGTATTTTGGTTTAATAATTTTTGTTTAGTTTTATTTGGGCGGTAGGGTGTGTGTGTGTGTGTGTGTGTGTGTGTGTGTGTGTGTGTGTGGATTCTGTTCAATTCCGCTGATAATCAACTGGATTTATTGACTGTGTTAATTCCATATGAAGTACATGTGATTTGAGCAGAGAGGGACGTGTCTTTACTCAGCGGCATGCGTGTTTCTGTTCTGTCATTGGATATTTGGAATCCCAATGTGCAAAAAATATGAACTCTTTTAAATGTAGTTACCAAAAAGAATATGGAATCATCTCAGTTTGAGTGCAGAGACAAGAACGTCTTTTGCATTTGAAATGTAGACAAAATTACAGTACTATTTAGAAATGTGTCATCAAACTTTAGAACCGGTGACATAGCTCATGTAATTCGGATTTTCAGAAATAAGACAGTACAGTTTGAGGAAATTCAAGATGCAAAAATGTAAGTATAATTTACCATTCCTATTATGAGCTAAACAATATATGTTTATGCCTGGTTACTCGCATATTCTTTGAAGGGACTCAAACTATGTTTTGACCCAAAATGGCGTCTATCGCTCGCCTATTCCGAAACATTGTATCAACCAAATTAACACCGAAATTGCAAAGCATTAGCTGTGTGACAATCTATTCAGCCAGCAGAAGTACGAATCGAATTCTTCCACGTCTTGGCTTATTGTCATTGACATTTCTAACAAAACCTTCAGTTGGTTTTCTTTTCCCACGACGTTCGTACTTTCGTTAAGAAGACGGTACGTTTCCTACAAATACGCCCTCACTATATTTTTCGATACTATTTTTATGTACCCCACAAGCACTTGTCATATACTGAACCATTCCATTAACAAAAAGGTACGAGCGTTTCTCCTAAAAACTGTTAA